GCCATTGTTCATATTATTGTGCTTTTTCACTCATGTCAACATGTCTTGTGTGAAAAAGGCATGTAGAGGTGCAGGACTATAGCCAGGATTTATGAAATACTGAGGTCAGGAGTCCAAATTCTTCCTGCCACAACTCTACCACAAACCGAAAAAATGTTTGAAACCATAATACCTTTATTTCATTTTCAGTTTTGTCTCAAAATAGACAATTTGAAGAGGTTAACCCTCAATAATATACCAAACTTTGTACAATGTGCAGTTTGTGTGTAACTGTAGACTCTAACCGTCTCCTGAGTTCTGTTCTCCACCTTTCAACAAGCAATATTGAGGACATGACCTCGGCATCTGAGCAGCCACAGCCATTTCGTTGCAGCTGTTCACAACATTTAAGGTCTCTCCACGGTTATCGATTAAACCCCGAAAAACTCATCTCTGTGTATTGAAGTTATTTGTTTAGATGTGTTTTTTTCTTCCTTGAAAATAATCCTGTTCTGCCCGCTTAGATGTAACTACACTGTTGCTTCCTCTAGAATGCGCAGATCTACAAAATCTCTGCCTCTAGCTACACTCGCGCTTCACTTTAATCACTGCAGCTAAGGCACACCAGCTCACCTTGGACTCTGCACAAACACTACCGCTGCTACTCTTGCATCTATGAAACCTGGAAGATCTGAATCCATGTTTTTGACATTGCCGTCGGTACACTGCAGTTTCAAGGTGGAAATGCTCAGTCTTGGGGATGACTGCTTATTTTGCTTATGATATAACCACCAGCATACAAAACACGCCATGTGGACATGTTAACTAGGTCTGGGATCATTTGAAACACACCCTGCAGTGTGTTTATCCAAAAACAATCTCTTGTTCACGCAGGATAATCAGCAGACATCACCATGGACAGCTTCTGCCATATATTGTATTGGACAGATATACACCAGCTCCCAGTGAAAGCTGTTGACAGGGAGGTCTGTCAGTTTTCCAGAGAAAGATGCATCTCTGTTGAGTTGCCATTTGTTGAGCGTCAACCAACAAGTCTCCATTCACTTTGCACTGGGACGGCAGCAGAAGCCTCAGTGTCAGCTACCTTTAAACCAAACTGACAGTAATCGTAAATTAGCTGTCACTACAAACTCTATGTGCAGCACATCTGTTATAGTTTAAGTGACTGAATGTAATGATGTTAATTGCACTTTCCCTGTTAAATAAACAACAAAACAAAACATAAATAAACCATTGGTATTCCGAACAAATGAATACAGATTAATGTGGAAAGGGAATCTGGGGATACTGCCTGGCATAAAAATATTTTCTAAAGCAGCCACTCCTCATTTATTTATATTTCACGGCGCCCCATTTGACTATGTCCTTACAAGAGCCGTATTAGTAGTCATTATGACACAAATTATTGGTGTGCTCGCTCTACCTTGAGCTGTTGAATCGTTAATCACCAGAAGTATAATTTTGCAGCCCTTAAATCGAGCTAAGTTTTAGAAAGCGCAACAATCTTTCATTGCCCTGTGAATATGTAACAACCTCTAAATCCGCCATATGTCTCGGTCTTTTTTAGACAGAACTTCACTGAATCTTGACACATTCATGCAGCGAGGGGCTAAAAGTAGCATTGATTTCAGATATGGGCCATATGTGTTTAAGTACTGCTCAAGCTTGATTGGCTCTATCATCACCCGAGAGGTTTTTACGAATAGCTCCCCTTTTTCTCTTAGAGCCTAATATCACATAACACTGCAATTTGGCGCACTGAGTTTTTGCGACTCCGTGTCATGCCTTGTTGTGTGGCTGGGTGTCAGTTTTGTGAGTGATTTATGGGCATGTAAATGAGGCTGTCTGTTGAATGAGGGAGATGTGCTGCCTTTGCCCAGCGGGCCCCGGAGCAAAAGATTGGAGACTGCGTGGGTGTGAGTCAGTCCCTAACTGCTGACACAGGCACAGCGCTGGCAGAGATTCACAGAGCAAGATGGGGAGATGGCCTTCACAGGTCCTCACATTGACTGATGAGATCAAGAAGAAAGTAGGCCAAGCCAGACAAGTGTCAGGCAAACAGACACCCAGAGATAGAGTGAGAGAGACAAACACTCCCCAATCACACATAGAACCGGGAGAGTGGAAAGTGGCGGGGTAGAGCTGGGTTGTTGTGGGTCTGAGTTCAATATGTCCAAATCGGTTTGTCTAAAGAGTAATGAGGCTGCTGAGTCTTGGAACATGCCAGCCCAGGGGATCTTGGTAGTAAGGGAAGGCCAAGTCAAGGCTCTCTAAATTCACTAAAGTGGAATAGAAGTTCACTTTGTTCTACTAGATAGGCTGACTGTGATGACATTTTGATCAATGCTCCTATACATTCCTGCGGCTTGCCTTTATGTTGCTTGAATAGTGATGATCTGTTATCATGCTGGTGTCAAACAGTACCATTTGTCATACTGGGTCCCTTAGCTGGTCCGGCCAGTAAAGCGTTTGACTATCAACATATTATACAACCTAATTTATGATGCCGTATTTCAGTTGTCCATAATGATGTAGTGGTCATATCACATTCAAGGTTCATAGTTCAGCCCGTCTGCCGTGTGGACAGATTGCCCTCTGTTGGCCGCCGCTTGTATTGTCTCATAAGCTTATTAACAATCAGGAGTGTATCAATTTAATTCCTCCCTAGTTAGCTTCTTTAAGTACAGTATAAATATTGAAGTGGTTTATACTGTAATTGTATAGCCTTTTTAATGTGCATTATTTGTCAATTTAATGCAGTATGATGTCAGTTATAGCATTCCTGAACATACTATTACAACTGCATTTCACTGTAGAACCATTCATTCTCTA